TTCCGACTGCAACGTCATTCTCCTTCCAATAAGCCTGTCATAGCCGTACACTGAAAACTTCTCATCCGTCGATTTATCATCAAGCCGACGCACATAAACACTCTTAGTTCGCGCTATACGCAGCCGGCGTCATGCCAAGCCCCTTCGTCATTTTCTTACTTATATTTTGGTTGATATAGGCAACTTTTATGACGTCCTTTTACGCCACTTTAGGTCTTGATGAGGGTATGGTGGCAGCCTCCTATTGTCGTAGACGGGAGTTTGTCCTGCTAATTATATTGCCTGTTTCTCAGCCAGCAAGGAGTTATTCAGTCCCTCGGTGCGGCGGCAACAGAGGATGCAATGTGCGGCATCTTGACCTTCTTTGATCTGCGGTGTGCGTGTGTGCAGGCTACTTCAGACATACTCGCACAACTCGCGCCGTCATTACCAACAACGACAACAGCTTGTGTGGCTCCCAGCAGGGTTTCACATTTGCTGCCTAATGAACAGTTTTTTATGCATCCTGCAAAGTACAGACTGGCCTGCCAATACTATCACCGCGGAGATTTACTTACGAACCCCTACACAACTATATAAGTGCCCAAACATATGTAATCACGAAGTAGATCGGACAAAGCAAAGGGACACCGAAATAACCATTTCTAGCTTATTAGCCATCATCAGCCAGTTATACCCTGTGTATCTGTTGTCTGTTTCTGCTACCTTTTTCTGCTAATGTCTCTGACGATGAATCCGCGACGGATGTCGAAACGCCAGGCGAATAAAAGTATTATCCCAGCGATCGAGTCGTCTTCTTCTCAATTACTTCGCTTGTATTGGAAATGCTCTCTATAACAGTCTACGCTGGAAATGATCTGGACCAACATGGGGACAGAGTAGACCAGGTTCTTCACCCCGCATAGGTGCAGGCTCAAGCCACGTCAGCCACTTGCGCCCTTTTCCAGCAGCATTTATTGGAACCATAAATTTCTCGAGTGCTCATCAGCTGCATCCTCTCGCTGCAGGAAGTGAGTAACGAATGAGAGAATACACAACAATTGAATTCATATAGAAGAGGTCATAGAAACAGGTCAGAAAAGTCAATTAATAAATTAGTCTAATTAGTAACGTAAGCAAGTGAAACACTGTGGACAGTGAGATAGGCGAAAAAACGTTAAAGCAAAAATGCGGGCAGGGGGAGGTGTGAATCAGGGAGCCGGATGTTACCGGGGCAAAGCAAGGTTCACAACATGCTCTAGCTGTTTACATAGGTCGGGTTTTGATCGTCATATACAGGCTGCTTCCAGGTAGCGAAAGATATGAGTTGTTCATGCCTGGACAAGTACTCAGAAGGATGTTTTGGGATCTACAAAATGGCCCAGTAATGGAGGAACGGGGGTCCTATTCTCCTGTTTTAATAGCCAACTCGGCAAGTGCTCCTTAGCTCTGGTTGCCAATTACCGTTGTGTTCGCCCTATGTACTTGGATCCGCAAGTGCATGTAAATTCGTAAACACAATTTGAAGTGGCGTCCAATGGCAAGGCATCATTCGCAATTGGAATCGGAAGGGTCTTTGTCGAGTTGCAATATGTGAACCCAGCAGCAAAGTAGGTCCTTTCAATGGTCTTACTTAAGCGTCTCTTGACCGTATTTAAGGTCTTGTCACCCTTAAAGGGCAGAGATATGAAAATGGGCATTTTGGAGCTGACTGTTCCATAACCTTTTGCCGTAAGGATTTGCTATACCTGTTTCTATGACCTGTTTTGTATGAATTTAATTGTTGTATTATCTCATTCGTAACTCACTTTATGCAGCGAGAGGACGCAGCTGAAGAGCACTCGCGAAATGTACGATTTCAATAAATTCTGCTCTATACGCAATCTTCAAATTTGCACCTGGGAAAAGATGCTTCAAACATTACCATATGGTTAACTGACGTTCCCACGGCACTCAACGCACGTTCGCACCACAAGCAATCTGAAGACCAATTAAACCACAATGACTCAGAAGGCTACGAACTGAGACCGAAGAGTCGCATTGCAATGGCTTCTCCTCCAGTGACCTCTACGGAATTCCCACTAAGTTGGCAGCTCCTGTTTCTGTGAAAATCTCGTCCACCATGCACCCATAACATTTAGCCTCGCCACCGGGACCAGGTGAATAACGGAAGAGCAAAAGTACAAAAAATGTCGTGCAAGTATAATTTCCTGTAAAATCGAGTCACGCTCAAGTCACCGTCCTTTTTGTGGACCACATGGTGGACGTAGTGGAATTTACGCGATTGCCTATCTCATTAAATGTCAATCGAAATTATTAAATTTGTTTTCGATTCAAACTAATTACTTAAGTAGTGTTGTAATTTTGATTATCCTGCAGCCTAAACTCAAGATGTTTTAGTCACGCCATGACGCCGCCTTTGGAAGAAGATTCGTCCTGACCACCTACAGAACGTATAGTATTTATAAAATTGCTACTTTATGTGTATGTGTCTTATTGATTTTCAATGCTCTTATAAATTCAATTGCACTTTAAAGCAAACATGTCCACAAAAATATTCTTTCTAGCACTTTTTTAATAGTGAATTACGCTTTCTTCAAATTTTGTACTAAAGGATTCTTATCTTTTGATTTTAAAAGAATTTTTAATGATAAAATCTCTACGACCGTGAAACGTTTACGCATAAAACATCGAATCCGTCAATTTAATAAAGTTGTCAATAAAGTATACAACATGAAACACATCCATTGGAAAACAAATAAGCACAATGTTAACTCTTCCGAACAGCTTATAGAAATCTGTGATTTCCTTCAGGCACACTGTATACAGCACGTGATTTGGGAACGTTTGATTCAAGTGTAATGACCGGCAGAATTTAAAAATATTCGGCAATTTAGAAAGTTTGTTTAAAACCGTCAGACACCCTTTCTTCGAGTGTAAAATTTTAAGGTTTAAATTGCTACCAGACGAGTAGAAAAAGGAATAATTTTGTGCATGCTTTTTTTAAAGTCTATTTGGAGTTATGGGAGCATTTGGAAATGATTGAGGAAACCGCATACTATTTAAGTTGCCATTTTTTACCGAGCACGCTCTTTGCAGGCGGTTAAAGAGAAGCTCATTCAACAGCCTGCATCGCGAAGTGACTAAATTATCTTGAGATTAGGTTGCAGGGTAATCAGTATTACAATCCTATGCAAGTAATTTGTTGAAATCGAAGAAGCATTTAAGAATCTCTACTGACATTAAATGAACTAGGACATCTACTGCACTGTGCTTGTTTCAAGTAGTCGGTGGAAACACAAAGTATGTGTCAAAGAGACCCATGTAGCTTTTGCATTCCACTTAAAGTCTAATTATTGCCAATTCCTTCAAAGAGATGAACATTTAGGCAGAGTCCCTGAACAACCATTCGCTCACGGGCTAATGTATATTACTTAAACGTTTCATGCCTAAAGCGGTAAAGCTCACTACGCTTTTTAATGTCAGTTTGCAAACCTTACCTTACTGCGCAAAAACATTGTTGCCCCGAGAGTAGAAGTAAGACTGTCAATGTCGGCGTTTGTCACCCGAACGGAAGGATTGCTCAACTGACCAAAACGGGTAAATTCCACCGGTCGACGATATTCACTGTTAAGAAGGGAGTGTAAGGCAATGAGTCGAATCCAACGTATAGAAATTAAAGACTAGTTGAATCATACCCTATAAAGTAAGGTACTGTTCTTTTTTAAGGTAT